GTCGAGATTCTCTTGGCAACAATGTTCGACAATGCTTGCAGGTTTGAGTCTGGATTGATGGATTTGGGCGCAGCAATTCTTCGTCTGGACATGAATAATTCGATCGCGTGCTGACCTGGCCACTTGTAAAACGTTTCTGTCAAGCCATGTGAAGCTGACCTGGGAACATGTAAAAGGTGTGCATAAACATCAGAAAAATGTGAACGTATGGTAGAACATTCGTAGCTCCAAATTGTCTGCATACGACACGGAGAAGAGCGACGCGCTGTAGTCGAGGGTGCAAAGCGACGCAAACGTTGGATGTGAGCTGAAATGTGTGTTCGTGGCCCAGGAATCTATCCTGACACTGTTTGATCCAATCGTCGACTTTACATCCGTAGGCTTGCATGGCACATGGTTTCGTAAACGTAAAATGATGTACATATCGTGGGCGTTGCTGTGATGCAACGCATATCAAGGGCGACCGGCGGATTTTAAGATTGAGGTGATGTTGAGGAGCTCTGTGTTGAACAAGAAGCCATGTGTTGGCATAAATGCGACATCGACAGCATGCGTCTGTGGGACGATCGCCATCATTCAAGCGAGTACGAGCCGACGAGCTGCGGACAGTGGCCGTGATCGTGGTAGTAGGTTAATAAAAGAGCTGCTGCATGGCGTCTGGTCGGGCCAATATAGCAAGATGATGATACAGGCGTCCCACGGTGGGGGATACGTGCGGCGCCATATAATCCCAGTATCGAGAGACACCGGTCCAGATTTCTCTGTCCCGGATGTCATCGTCCTCAATGGCCATTCGATAGCGACCGAGGTCTCCAAGACACTATATCCAAGTATCTGCAAAGGCAGGGACAGTCTCATAGAGGAGTGCCATCATAGTATATGCAAGGTAGATGAAGGTGAGCATGTGCTCCATCAAGTCAGGTAGGCGATGGCGAAGTAGTTCAAGAAACGAGTGAATGCCATGCCGCCACATTCGCGCAGGCATAGCATATTTCGATGCCAGGCGCCGTAGTGCGGGGCTTGCTGCAGGATGCTGGCTTGCTAGAAAAAAGTCGTGGTGCTCATGGAGCAGAGTACTATGAAGAGCTATTAGTGCTGGCAGATTGCTGCTGTTGTTCGACGCAAATCTCCGCCAGTTCTGATGGATGAGTGTATATCATCAGAGCCGGTACACCCAAGTTCATTTGGTAGTGACTGCGCGTTGTCAACCTCGATACACTTAGTTTCGACCATAACAAGTCCAGCATATATGCCTTTGACTTCGGCGGCTAAAAGCTCCCGGTCAAAAAAAAAAAAAAAAAAATAGGCGCTTCTTGGCCTTGCTTCGACTTTTGCAATGCCATCTCGGCGTAGGCACCACACTCGCGATGTTGCTTTTCTTGCGCTCCTTCCTGGGGAGGCTCATAAGGAAGATTTGGAAATGCTTGGGCTTTTGTCAGAAATTTTGCGCGGCCGGCAGCAAAAGTGCTCGGCGCATCCGTAGCCGTCGCGGCCCGGGAACTGGGATGGGAAGCTCCAAATCGTCGAGAACTGGATTTCTCCTCTGTGCTGCCATGAAGATCATGGCAGCCGTTGTGGCTAGCGGCAGAAGCAATATCGCATCCGCAAGCGACGGCTGCAGCACCATCACGAACGGTAGCCACACTTGCAGCGGATACAATATCGTCCGCTGAGGGTTCCTGCAAACGGGGATTAAGCACTGCATTTCCGCCTTTCATCGCCCGGCGCGCGCAGGAATATTTTGCAGATAAACTTACTCTAGGAAATATCGCTTGTGGAGAAAGCCGAGGGAAATGGCCGTTAAACTCCAGGCGGCCAGAATTCTATAGCCACATATAAGTATAAGCCCAACAAGTTTGATAAAAGCAGAATGAGGCGATGATGACTTACGCAAATGTCGCTGCCGGAGCCCAGGAAAAATGAGTTTGCTGGCTCCCCGGCAGGAGGACTAACGCTGAAAGAGAAATATTTATCTGCAGTAACCATTGTTTAAAGACCATCGCAGATGTTGGTCAAGACGTCCGGATTGAATGCTACTTGGTATATGGGAAAAGAGAGACAAAGGCAAGGTTACGGGAAAGGAGACAGTTGATGAGAGAAATCACAAGAGGCAAAGCAGGCTATGCTACTTTCCAAGGCAAATAATGAGGCGGTATATGCAAGTTAGATAGAAGAGATGCTATGTGTGAGGTTGGGAGTCGATGTAAAACAAAAGTATTAGTGAGAAAGACGGATGAGAGAGGAGACTCGAGAAGAGCTCGTTGAAGTGTGAGGAAAACGTTTTCAATATGGCAAACGGAGGGAAAAGAAGGGCAAGAGGTTGATAGACAAGAGACTTAAATTGGATCAGGTATCGAAACGTAAGGTAGAGGCTTTCGTCGCCAACACAAGGCCCGACGGCGGAGAGATAGGAGGGGGCGTGCAAGGGAGTCGGATTTCCTAAAGAGTTGGTCTTACATTAGCGTTGCCAGCCTCTCAGGGATGAGTTGGATGCACACCTTTAATACCAGGTCCGTAGCCTCTCATCAAGATGGTTCGCGCCCAGAGTACGGAGTACAGAATGCAATATCCAAGTAGCGTAAGGCAACCAGACGTAGCGCGGGGGCTGGGAGGCAAGGGGATTGCCTCACTCCCCCCTTGTTGGATCCGATGATCCTCGTAGGCGGAAAATGAGGGGTATTCTTGAGATGCCCCCGAAGAGTCTTCTGCCTGTCTCTGCTTCGTAATGAGGCTCAGCTATGGAAGACACATGTTAGCTGATTCTTTCTTATTTCGCGACGTTGAGTGTGCGCTACCGAATCTTCGCGCAATCTACTTACTTTCTGTCATCTTTGAATAAATGATTCTCAGCCTCGAAATATAACCATACACTTGAATACGTTTTTTCAGGCCTATGTTGGAACGCCATGACACAGCATCCTCTTACCCAACGGCCACAAAGAATGATCAAAGCACCGGGGCGGCACAAATCTACGCTGCGGCACAGCAGGAGGCAAATCATGACAGTCGCAGACATTCTACATGCAACACCCTGGCGGCATGGGGGTTGACGGCGGCGTTGAATATCATCCCGGATCAGTTCAGTAAAGGATCCGAGAATAAGGGCTGTTGGAGGATATATCCAGTAGGATAAGCAACCCCAACCGTTCACAAAAAAACTGCGTTCTGACATCTTGAGATGACGATAGACGTGTAATCCCGTGGCGGTGCGAAATCAGTCGCACTTGTTTTGGTTCCAGGATAGACGGTACTCATGCGAGTTGTGTTTGTTTTTTGTAGCGGCGACTACTTTCATTTACTGGAGTTGTGTTCTTCGTCTTTTCAGCCGGCCAAAGTGGAGGGACAAATATCTGTCGCAGACCTTGACGACAACATTCATCGCTCTCCTTCCATTTGCGGCGGTTATCCGAGACCCGGCCACGGTCTTTCTTCGCGTTTTACCCACCGTCGTAGACGTGTGCGCTTCTGCGTGCCTTGCCTTGGACTACTGTGGGCAATGACGACTTCGCATCGCGATTGAGCTCTGTGGCTCGGAAAGGCTGGCAGCGAGCGATGGTGGATGTGGCCGCAAGGAGTCCCGTGGTTCTGCTTTTTGGTTGTTTTGACTTTATTAAGGATATATGTCAGTCAAGTTTCTTGTAATTTTGCGTAATCAACTCTCAAAAGAACTCATGAGAGTGTGTTCATTCCAATAGCATCAGCATCAATACATCTTCATACACGAATGTACCACATGAGTAGAATATTTGCTTTCCATGATTTGCACGGAAACTACGCGTCTGGCATTTCATCCCACGCCATGAGTGGTGTCACTTAACGCGTAACTAGAGCGCTCACATCAATTACCTCAAAGAGGGCCTTTCTGCGCGTTGGCTCCAAGTTTACCAACGCTTACCGACACTTGCCGGTCACAAGGCAGCTTCATGCGAAGCGGAAGATTTCGCTTTGTAAGGGGGTTCTTGCAAAAGGCTACGCTTGTCTGACAAAGGACCACCTCGGCGGTACTTACTGTGGCAAGAGGGTGTTCCACTTCGGTGGGACATGTTGGCCTGGTTAGAACATTGACTGGTCGGGTTTACTTGGTTGATACTCAGATGCCAACAGGGCCTCCGGGGACAGACGGTTGACAGACACCTTTGGAAAAAAGGCAACCTTCCATGTCTGCGGGACACATTTGAAAAGAATCCTTGGGGCGTCGACTGATAACCAGTAGAACGACTTCTCTCGCATGGCGCGGCGCGCTGGTGATGCTGGCACGTCATTTCACGCGCACTATTGGCTCTTGGTTAAGCCATCTTTGCCATGGATACAGCCGCCCAGTCCAGCTGAGATGGTGTGTGCATGCAGCCACGCCACTTGGCAGGATGACGAGAAGAAAGTCCGCGACCCTTTTGCCTCATGATCAGGATTCAAACAAGTAGCCCCAGTTTAAAGAAGGCGGCAGACACGGGACGTTGGCAGCCCCCGTTTGGCAGATTGGCAGGATGTTGAAGCAAATCGTGATGGTAAACGGGCGATGAAGCTGTCAACCAGCCCTGAAAAGCTTAGGACGTCTGCAGGCGCACCATTTCAGCTAGGAACACGGAGGGGGTTTGCTTTCGACGGTTGCCTTTTTCTTCTAAATGAGTTGCCTTATTTTAGATGCTCGCAGCTAGCAGAATATCAACAAAATGTGACAGAAATTAAAGGCGTCCTTGTCCATACAAGGTAAGTGAGATGGAATCTGTGAGGTTTGAGATGCGGTGCCTGTATGACGTCCCCCATTGTTGGGGCCCCAGCACGTGCTGCCGAAACCCACCGCTCCAGAAGTACGTATTCGGCACGGAGCTTTAGCAGCACCAGCAGGTACCTTACAATGCTCCACCATTGCTTGCCTTATCGCAATCGAGGCCAGGTAACGACACTTGCTTGAACTCGTGCTGAGCCGAACGCAACACCGCCTTCAACAGCTTCTCTGCAAGTCTCCCGCAAAAGGACAGGCTCAGCCTTGTGTGGGCACCATGCGCGTCATTGCCCTCCTCTCGGCCCTGTGTGCCGCAGCTCTGGTCCAGGCCGATTTCCACACGGCGCAAATCTATGTCCAGCCCGTCGAAAACTCCGAGTCACCCAGCCTCCTCGCCGAAGTGGCATACGATCCTAGCATCAGCGGGTCTTCTTCCATCATCTCCTACGAAGCTCCCGAAATCCCGGAGTCTACACAGCTGGTCCGCGTCGGGTTGTACGACGTCAAGTCTGCGCGGTGGATATCTGGCACAACTGTTGCCTCGGTGGACAACTTTGGCAAGGGCTTCTCACCCAATTTGGTACTCTCAGTAGATGAAAAGGGCGAGCTTCTCAGTGCTGCTCTCAAGGGCGTAAGGATCGATGCGGGCCAGACGAGGGACTTTGGCCCGCAAGCGGTGGTGCTGCCGGTGCTCAAGGGCAAGCAGCCAGAGCTGAACAAGCCAATTGTTCTATCGCCAGAGGGGAAGAAGGTTGAGGAGGTTGAGAAGACGCCCCTTCAAAAGTACGTTGCGCCTTGCATCCCCAGAATAGCGTATGGTACTAACTGCACACAGATACTGGTGGGTGATTGCCATTATTGTTTTCCTGGCAGTGAGTGGAGGAGGCAGCGAGAAATAGAGCCGACAATTGAAGTATACATCAATCTGAACATACGCTTCCGTGATGGGATGGTCGCTGGCAAGGGTCGAGCTGTTGCGGTTGCCTTTGTGATCCCTGTCCTCTCACCACCATCTGCCTAAGGTACATGACTATAATGCTTTTCTGTTGATACATAATACCCTATGATAAGACTCTTGCCTGCCCATTGGTCCATCTACATGTTTAACTAACAATTGCACTGCACTCTGGATTATGCTGAAACGATCCAACAGCAGTCATCCATCTCTCTCCCTTGTTGCCTGTCCCTTGTCTCCCGATCTTGTCTAAGATGAGACCACGTGACTTGTAGACACAAATCTCGATATGCGCTAGTCCATAAGTAGACTAGACGTGTTGCTGCGCACCCAACCTGCGTCTTTCAATTGGTGAGTTGCCTCCATGTTAAAAGAGCTCGAAGCACTACCCGATCCACCTCGAGCTCGCCCGCCCTACTTATACCTTACCAAAACACTGACCGTTCACTCTTCTCAGGAGCACTTCATCCCTTGGTCATTTCGCAATCTTTCATCTTAACAAACCACTTTTCGCGTACTTACCTGCACCCAAAATGTCTGACGGAGTCACCAACCCTCACGGCGAGGATTCCTTTGCTGAGAGCAAGGGCAAGGGAAAGGCGGCCCAGGACGATGTTCCTCACGACACCGCCATGGATGAGGACGACGATGAGGACGACGACGATGATGAAGATGAAGATGAGGTAAGTTCATGTGCCATCCGTGTCCATAACGTGTCCGTCCACAGTGCCAGGTAGCTAACAACGTTCACGGTAGAATGCTGAGCCAGGTAAATTTGCTTCATCAGCTACTATTTCCCCCAGCAGAGCCATGGGCCATCTAACCACTTTGAGTAGAAGAGGACGGCTTGGAAGAAATTGACCTGAACAACATTGTCGAGGGTGGACGCCGCACTCGTGGTGCCCAGATTGACTACGCCAGGGCCGCTGAGCAGACCCCCATGGAGGACGACGACGAGGATGAGGATGACGAGGACTTCCAGCCTGCCCATGAGGACACCGAGATGGACGGTTAAGCAAGTGCACCCCTTTGGCTTCCGAGGCCATTGGATGACTGACAAGTCTATGATGTTAATGTTTATGGGTTCACCAAGGTTAAAAGCTCGGGTGATTGGGAGGGGAGCTGGACATCTATCGAGGAGGATCCCAGTGCCTTGGCCGATGGGTCATGTAACGACAAAAAGGTTCTCTGTTTGCTATTTAGCTAGGCGTTAGTTGCCACCCTGTGTCGGGGGAGAACAGAGACGTTGAAAATTGCACACGCCGCCATTGAGGCCGCATCGTGTTCTTGGAGCCTTGCCTGTGTCCCGCCATTCCCCACACTGAGTGAATGGCCCACCAGCAGTTAAGCTTCACCGTTCGTTGCTACTGTAGGCTCACGCATACCCTTGACAGATGCAGCTGATCACCTGTATGTAGTTTACCATCTTGTATCAAGATAACGAGTAAAGCCTCGAGACAAGCAGATGCCTTCGTAGAGATTCAATCACTGCTGTGTATCGGAATTTGTATCATCCATCGGGAAGGCCTACTGATTATTTGCGTCCCCAGACAAGCCACAAGAGCGCTGGTTGGCTTTAGCCGCCACAATGGCTGGGGTACGTACTCCCCCCTAACCTCCAAAAAAGTTGCCAACGCCACTCTTGACAGATTATGGTCAAGACCACCTAAGCCATAAAACTGCTTGCATGGAATATTCCAACTTCCCCCAAGGGGCATTTTCTTCTCGACAATAAAACCGCCTTCTTCGTTCTCTTCATACAACACCCCCTTTTAATTCGCTGGCTTCTTTGTTTTTTTATTGTGTGGTTCTTGCTTATTCCGTTCTCATCATGTCGCAAAGGTGAGTGACCTTGGATTCAACCTACCCTATTCGACCTACTCCAGGCGCGGAGGCAACATTCGACGATGCGCGCGCCCGACGACTCCCCCGTCGCGCCGTCCTTTTGGGTGGCAATCTGCGATGCTAGAGCAAACGGCTAACCCTTCTGTAACCGCAATACAGATTCGGAGCCTCGTCGCTTCACCAGCGCGACTCCCGCAGCATGCTCTTTGCGGGATACAACGGCGGCGATCAGTCACAGCGAACGAGACCCAGCCCGTCTCCCTCGCCCAACGCCGGCGTAGGAGGAGGCTACGGCTACAGCAGCCATGGAGGATACTCTCCTTCAGCGGGCAATGGTTACGGCGACGCCGGGTCGCCCTCTCATTCGTACCGAACTGCGACGCCCAACAAGAAGGGGCAGTACAGCGACGCGGTGCTGAACGAGCTGGAGAGCCAAAACGACGACCAGGTTGTGGGCATCCTGGGCAAGGTCAGGGTCCTCAAAGACGTAAGTTCGGCGCATCCTTTGCAACATCTCCCGTCTCGTTCGCGGAAAAAAAAAAGAAATGCGAGATAGGATAGGGAATAAAAACAAAAAGTTCATGGCTAACGCCAAGCGCGCGCAAATCACAGATGACGGCTGCCATCGGCGACGAAATCCGCGAATCCTCCGCCCTCGCCGAGAAGATGAACGACACCTTTGACTCGACGCGCATGCGCCTCCGCGGCACCATGAACCGCATGCTCATCATGGCCCAGCGCAGCGGCGTCAGCTGGAAGTGGTGGCTGCTCTTCTTCTTCGCCGTCGCCATGCTCTTCATATACGTCTGGCTGTTCTAAACGAATTTTCGCCGGGGAAACACCTTGACCTATCATCTTTTTTTTTTTCCCTTCCGGCCTTTTACGAAGAGATACGATAGAATGATGTTGACCTTTTCTTTCTATTTGTTACGATGTATATTCCCTCATCACGGGCTTTTCCGAGTTCTCTCTCTTTGCTGTAACGACCGATGATTCTTGGCTGGTGGCTGCGGCGGAAACCATACGTGCTTTCGCTTCTTCTCTCTCGGCCAACAAATATTTGTACAAGTTGCATCTTGGGCTGGCGTTTTGGGTGTTTGTTGTTCCCCAGTTATCTCATTTTCCCTCCCCAAATGGATACATGGGTTGCCCAACTAGGGGGGAAAAAAAGAAGAGGAACTTGTCTTTGGCTGTGAAATAAAAGCGAGTGGTTGTTTTCTTTTACTCTTGATACAGGCAAAGGCTATTTATATAAATGTTTTAATATCATTACCAGGCTTACTACTAGCTGTTATTCTTCTTCTTCACACCTTGAACCGTCCCATCTATTAACGAACACACTGCTTCAGCCATTTGCATTCCCTCCATGTGATATCAAAGGCATCATGCCGCCAGCATTCGTATACTAGCTGCTGCTTCATCTATTCCTTCCTCGAAAAAAAGGGCTCTATAAAAACCGGGGGGTATCTAAGCTATGTTTCCTCTCCACACAACACCAACAAAAACAACCTACTTCCTCTGGCCCGGCCTTCTCCTCATCATCACCGCAGGGCTACTCTCCATCATCATCATGCTGCTCTCGTCCTGCGACAGCAGTGCACTCAGGTCGATGCTTGGGCGGGGACCCGCGCGGAAGCCCATATGGCGCGGCAACGTGGGGGACGGAGGGGCGGCGAGGGGTGTAGCGCGCGCCGGCATGAAGCTGAGGTCGTGTGTGTCGGTGGTATCACCTTCACCTTCTTCATCCTCCTCTATGGCTTCGTCCTCGTCCTCGACGTCCACATCTTCGTCTTCTTGCTCTTCGCCTCGGACAAAGCTGCTAATATCGGCCTCGGAGTCGGTGTGCTCGTAGCCACCGTCCTCAGCCTCGGGAATATCATCGTCGAGGTCGGCATCCATGTCATCAGCCGTGCCATCATTTAGGTTATCATCGTAGGGAAAGCCGACCTCGTCGAGAATCTGTTCTCGATCCCCTTCTTCGTATTCTTCATCATCATCGCCGTATACGCTGCCATCCACTTCTGGGTCACCATGGAGAAGTGCTTCCCGGAACGTGTCATCCGTCATCCTTATTCGGGCTGCCACCAAGCCATGCTGCCGTTCCTCTCGTATAGCTTCTTCATCTGCTTCCTCTTCCCCATCTGCCTCTTCGTCACCATCTTCATCCTCATTCTCCTCGCCATCATCGCTGCTTGGGTCAAAGCCGTCGTCTGCATCTGGGATTTCGTCATCCAAATCTTGCGCCCCGTCGAGCTGGACGTCATCCATCATGCCGTCATCCATCGTGTCACCACCCTCGGCTTCGGCCAGCTCTTGAGCAAGTTGCTCTCGTCGCATGGCTTCCTGGTGCTCTTCTTGTTCACGCTTCTCCTCCCGCATCTGGTGCAAGGTCTTTGGCACTCCGGGAGGTTTTAGCCAAGTGCTGCCAAAGTTCTGCACGTTCATCCGGCGTCGCTGCATCTTATGCTCATCTGCGGCAAGGCGTGCAAGCAGCGTTCGCTCCAGCATCTGCCCGCGCTGGCGCGAATGCGTTGGACCATGGTGGCTGCTGTTCGGATCTGCGTGTAGGCTATCGACAGGTCCGGGGGGGATGAAGGGATTCCTAGAGGACGAGTACCACAGAGTGTGCGACTAAATCCCGAGTCAGTTAGTGGTTTTCGGGCAAGGCCATTGGCCAAAGACATTCTTACATCTCGCGGCGTAAAATCTGGGAGTGTCGTAAACATTGGAGAGCATGACAGCCTACGCTGTCAATTGGCAGAGCTTGTGATGATGAGGTCCCTAAGATGTGTCGGGTGGGTTCAATGTTATTCGTTGATAACACCGGCTGGGGACTGTTATTGGCCCAAGACCCGCTTGGCGCTTATGGCGCCTATCTGGTTAGGCGCGAACGAAGATATGTAACCGGGCAAGCCAGCCTATGGGGATGAATTTGACTCCTATTACACAGTTTAAGGGGGTGTGACTTAATTCTCCGTATTGGAGGCCTTCTGATCTCGGATTCGGCAGACCCTGTTGAGATGTATAGGTTGGGTGTCATAATGTGTTGATGAAAGGTCTAAGTTATACTATCACAAAGTCGGGGGCAGGACTTCTTATATACACAACCTATGACAAGCAAGGACCTTCAGTCCTTGCGGACTTGAAAATTAATAAAACAGGAAGAGGAATCAGCTAGAAACCAGACGATGACCTAGCTGGCTAGGTACTTTGCGTTTCGTTGCGTTTCGTTGCGTTGAACAGCTCTTCAGTGGGTTGATGCTGACCCTTTTATGCCTACCGTTGACGCGTTTTACGCGGCATGCTGTACGGCGTCAGTGAACTGTTCCAACTCGCTGAAATCTTTTCTGACTGTCTGCTAGGTGGAAGGGTACTTAGCTGGACTGACTGTGTTAACAACAATAACAAGTGTTTTGTTCGTTATCGTGCGAGATCCGTAGAGATAGATTAGCTAGGTAGGGTTGCCGGGCAATCGACAGCGCTATCTGGTGTAAGTTTTCTGTGAGAGAGAGCCAAACTGTATAATGTGGCATGAAATTCTCTCTGGGTCTTCTCTACGGGTTAAGCAAAGCTTCTTTATATACGGGCACTCTTATGCTTTACATACCGCCAGCTGTTTATCAACCAATCGCCCCTAAGCTCTTCATCGCCGATCGAGTTTAATTTTACAACATTTTATACTTTATATCGTTTTGTCCGCACAAATCAAAAGCGGGTGATTCTTCTCAAGCATGTAACTTTCTCTGTCCTCTTCTCAGTGGGGCGGGTGATTGCGAACAAATCATATACTTTCCCAAATCAAATTCTCATTTTTGACTTTTCTCTTCTTGTTTGTCTATATAAACCCTTCCATTCCCCAGGATTTTCTCTCTTTATTCATTCTTCATCATAGCTGTCACCATATCTCTCTACGTTTTTAAACTATTTAAATCAACATCGAAACTCCAACCGCCAGCTTTGACTTGCCATTACCACTGTTACTGATTATCTTTGTCGTCACTACAATAAACTCCATAGGTCACCATGGCAGACGCGAGTTCATTACCCTCCTCACCCGTGGAACGGTCTTCAAGTCCTCTCACCATGGCAGACGACAGTTCATTACCATCCTTACCCATGGAGCGGTCTTCAAGTCCCTTCACCACGGCAGACGACTGTTTATTACCCTCCTCACCCGCGGAACGGTCTTCAAGCCCTATCTCCATGTCAGACGACAGTTCATTACCATCCTCTCTCCTGCCTGATTGGCTGATAGAGAGGTACGGGGAATCCATTTCTCGGAGAGCCCGGCAGTTCGACCCCATGAGGCTTCAAATTGCGGTCGAGAACCTCCCGCGAGAGGAGGATACGCAATACATCGTTGGGCTTATTCAAATGTACAAGGATTCGAATACATATATTGAGGATACTATGCAAGAAGGTAAGTTTCTGGCCTCCGTGATATTTACCTTGCCTTTTTTATTTTGCCAAACTACTCCATTTCTTTTTCAACTTATCCAACCCCTATATCAATGTTTTTGTTTGGAACTATACTGAATAACCTGTTTAAAGATGGCGCATTTGTTGTTGATTTGAGTACTATGCCGCATGGGTTGAGTATGAAGATCTGGAATTATCTGGTAAGTTTATTCGAATGAATCAATGTTCACACTCAGTTCTAATTACAGATGAAAACACAGCTCAGGAGGGGTATTATTGAATAAGAACATAAACATCTTCCTTTTCTACCATGATAGGGAGCAGTATGGGAAAATATGCACCAAGGATCTGTCAATACGACGGAAGCCACGAGATCGACCATGTCTTTTTGTTTATTTGTTTACTTGTTTATTGGCTTGTTTGTTCTACGATGAAACTTGTTTGATATCCTCTACTCGACCACTTTCTAGCATATTCTCAACTCAATAATGCCTATACTGCGGCCACACGTCAGGATGCCAATTTTGCTATTCAGCATCTCGCATCAGAAGTGATACTGAATACTAGCTAAACATAGTCGTAGCAGATACTTCAAGAATTGAATACCTACCTCTAATGCACGCACTGCATTTACTTACTGCCCAACTTGCCACCTACCTAATAGGTAAATGCCTGTAGTAGTAAATAAACAACTTTCCTCCACAACCGGTTTCAACGCTCAAAGCCTCAAACTCTACGCAGTTGCTAGGGTGCTGAATAATCACTCCCAAAATCACCACGAGTACTCATACTTGCGCATACATTATTCCGTGCTTCGTCCCTAGAGTGTATTGATACAATTTGACGGATCATTTACGAACAAGGTACATCAAGTAAACATCGTGATAGCCACATCTAAAAGGCTTTATGTAGCTCCAGCCTCATCCACCGTATTCGCCACTATCGGCAGCCACCCTCAAGCCATGTAGGCATTGTGGCTGCTCAGCAAAAAAAAAAAAAAAGGATGCCCATCGGAGGCTTCCTGAGATGACTCAGATGCCAATCGAACGATGAGGCACGATGAGGCACAAACAATAATAGTCGTTCCTCTTGGCACGTTGAGAGACAAAGTGACCAGAGGTCAGGGTGGATATCGGGAGTTTTCGGAATGCCCATGTACCCCCATCCTCATTTTCCCTACTGTGGACAGCTTGTAACATGGGGGTAGTACTCATGCTCCGTCTTCGGTGAGCAAGCGTATTGAGCCGCGCCCTAGCTGTAACCATCGGGAATTCGTCTGCAACGTCGTCGGCATAGCACCAAAAACAGGATGTGCTAGATGGATATCAAGTAGTAAAGGCCGAGTAATCATCCGTCCGAAAGTGAAGATGCCCCAATATCGGCTGGCTTTCTAAACTCCCCTTTTGTCAGCATACCCAGCAAGACCAGGCACATGTCATCCTCTCCGTAGAGCTTCACTTGTGTCCTCCGTAAACGGCCGCACAACGAGCGGCAGATGTTTCAACCCGGCTGTAAGGGTTGAAGAGCTGATGACAGGGTTTACCAGCTTCGAGTCGCTTGCAACAGCAGCATGAAGACCGACTTCGGTCGAGTCTCACATTGGTGTCATGTTGTAGCCGACTTTTTTGATGCTCCGTCTCACGCAGCGCTGCCGGTGCCGAGATGCTTCTCCGTGTTGGTATTTATAAGATTCTATGAGTACAACGAGGCCCTCACCAATCTGCGATGCATTCACCAGTGATCTGGAACAAGGCCACGCCACACACCCCCCCGGCCCCGCCATCTGGCTCGGGAAAATAGGCCCTGGTTAATTAGGAGTCGACGGCGGAAGGAATAGGCGCCGTTGCATTTTATCCTGACAAAGAAGCATAATGCATGTATTGGGTGGGTTTTGGTGTGGTTGAATTAGGACGTTCCGAATTGCCAAAAAAAAAAAAAAATACAAATATTGCCTCAGATGGAAAATGGCCTGTTTGTTTGGGCCGGTAGGTAGCACCCTGTGGCCGTTGGTCTGTCCGTTTCCTCCAGAGTATTCGTACCCTTTCTTCTCTTGGAGCTGTACGAGTACGGCATAGAAGTCGTAGTGATATCTCGTGATGGAGATGTAACTTCCATGTGAACTCTGTAGGTAGGGACACGGCTGGTAGCATCTCTGGGGCACGAGTACCTGTACGTGCAAGTAGCAGGGCCATCACCTCATTTCGGATGTCACCATGCCTTGTGTGAGTGCAACCATGGGAGGACCCTCAAAACGAGACCATCTTCGTCTGTGGCGAGATGGCTCGTATCAGCGCCAGGTAGCTCCAGGCTATTTACTGCCGCTATCTGTAGCGTTAAAGATTCGGGCGACGGGCCGGCAATCTTGGTTGGCCTGAGATAAGGACAGAAAGCCAAAGGCCGGGATGCTGATTGGCTGCGGGCGCCGGTTTTATGATGTCGATTTTTTGAGTGAGCAACGCCGAAGTACCACCACGCGCAGATGGGCCGACGAGGTACTCGTACGGATACGTCGTGTCCCTTATACTGTAAACAGGCAGAAACGGACCAAGAGGGGGGTGGCATCGCAAGAGTACGGAGTACGGGTAGAGTCACCAGAATGGTGTCTGTCTCTCCTCTCCGTGCATGCTGCGGGTGTCGGGGCCTGGTGCGTTATTGGCCGAAGAGGTTTCCTAGAACGAGTCTTGGTCGAGATGGGTGCTCTCCCGTTTGGTCTCGTCGCTTTGAATACTGCAAGCATGGCGCCGCTGGCGCGGGCAAAATCCATAAAAGCAATCTGCGGCCCAGCACCCCCGGCTGCTGTCTGCATCGTCCGCGCATGCCCAACCCCGGTTCTGCATCCTCATCTTGTCCATCTTGCAGCTGGACACTGCAACCGACCTTTCTGTTTAGGCATGTCGAGCAACAGTGAGCCGCCATGGCACGTGTGGCCATGACGACGAGAAGCGACACAGGCTGGTCGCCCATGTGCCAGGTCGCGAGGGCTGCCGTGTCTCCGAGATTGCGTACTCGTACGCTGTATCTCATTGTCCCTTGTCGCAGTAGTCTCGCAATGGCGCCGTATGGGTAAAACAAAACGGCGCTGCATTCGATTTCTCTGCCACCTCGGGTCCGGCTCTCCAGACGCCAAATGGCATGGCTTGGTGGCATTTTAGGGTCCCCCCCCGGTCCTTGAAGAGCATGCCTCGCTGGCGTCGAAGCTTGAGCGCGACATCGGCCACGCAGGGGTCAGGATTTGGAAAAGGCTGGTCTTGATTGGCAGCGATGCTAAGCTCCAAGCCGTCAGCCACAGATCCTCGTGTGCATCGGTCGCAGGGCCTACCTGGTGTGTAGGGATGACCCTTGCACAATAGCAGAGATGCTGTGGGGTTTGATGGGATACCCTGCCGCATTCGGGCATCATTAGCTCCCAGATTTCTCTTACACAACGCGTGTTGCAAACCGAATTTCTCTCGACGACTGGATAAGCCTGGCTCTAGTCATCGAGATAGGCTGAGATGAGCGTCAGCCGCCCGGAGCCAACCAGAGGGCTGGGAATTAGTCGTAGCACATTACTGTGACAGCAGGCGATGAGGCGAAAAGAAAGGAGGGGCCTCTGCATGAGGTGGACAAGGCCGGCGGTTGCAAGAAGAAGCGACGGAATTGGAAAGCTGCTCGGCGTACTCGTAGCTGAATTGTTGCTCGCAGCCATTGCCGGCTAGAGACTGACTGATGGAAATTGCCATCCCATGCGGACATGTTGTCCTCAACGCCGTGCGCTCCGCAAGACGAAAATTTTCAGTTTCTCGCAGGTAATGTGAGGGTAATGCGAATACAGCTGCGAGTTTCCTGGGGGTAATGGCAAGGTTTTATGGGGGTAATAATATTGTTTTCGAGGGTAATCGATAGCCTAATTGGGAAAGTCTGGATAAATCAGCGGTGTTGCCTGAGGCCCATTACGTACAGCGCTCTGGCACAGGCCCGCGAGAGCTTCATCTAATTCCGACTACACGCCTTTTGGTCGGAGAGGACCGGGTCTGGGAAACGAAACAGATGCCGAGCAATTGGCTCGCTGCTACAGCCGAGGGCCATCACCCTCTTGCAGAAGTGCGAGGGATGACGTGCCTTGCCGGAGATCATCAGATGCGTGCTTCGTCAACCAACACGGCAACACTCGTACAAACCTCCATGGCAGCGCTTGGACTACTGGTTTAGTATGGAAAAGCAAGGCCTCATCCAGGCAGCTCCCATGTCAAGACCCCGAGACTAGTGCGGCGTCTTCCCCTTCAAGACAGCTTCAACTGACATCAGTGAGACGAGAATTGCAGGCTGGAGGGGCCGTTGCCTCCGCGCATCGGCGCCGCACATGTACGACGAACGAATGAAACCCCCCATCCCGCGTCCCCATACTTTGCAAGTTGAGATTCGACGAAATATACTTGTATACGGAAATTGCCTTTGGCACACCCCCCGGAGCTTGCGGTGTTTTCTGACATGTGCTTCAGGCTGGGCCATCAACGGAGGGGCAGATCGGTCCGCACGAAATGCCTGGGAGTTCGTCTCTAGCCCGGAGGCGTTGCACCAGTCAGAACGCCGCATTTCAGGCGTTTGGTGTTGCGCCATGCTCAACGCCCCCCACTGTCGGTTGCAACTCTAGACCAGTATCCTGGTAATTTACGAGCCAGTGGACTTTTTTCTCTCTTTCTTTTCGTGGCCGACACTCTGCTCGGACCACTTTCTTGAGAGATCCATGGCTTGGCAGAGACGTGCGCTTGAAGAGATGCTCTCTGATGGGGGCACGCCGGGGAAATGGAGACAGACGGGCGCCTCCAACTCTATCATAAAAGCTGTCCTCTGCCCTCCCTCCCCCCTCTCTGCCTCACTTTTTTTCTTCCTCCTTTTACTTCTACGCCCTCTCGCTGCTCTCCTTCGTGGCTTCTTGTTCATATACTAGAGCGCAAAGCGCCTCCTTGATACCAAAAGAACATCATAAGCCTGTAAGTCATTCGAAGCTGACGGTTCTCACTCCCCTTCTCCCGCAGAATGCTTTCGACCTGCCCCCAATTCCCGTGCCTTAGCCTCCTTACCCCAAAAGCAAGTGCGTGCGAAAAGCCAGAAACACACGGGATTCATATGGATGTCTGCCGGTGCCAACTCTATTTTCGAGATGGAGGAATCGAAGTGTCGCCGAGGTTATCAGGATTCTGGCGGCTTCCGCGGATAGCTCATAACCAACTTGCCACCTCCAACGATGATAGGCGCTGCTTGAACTCAATTGAGATCCAAGGCCACGACTGCCGAAGAGAGG